CCAGAAAACCTCCAGGGGGAGGCATTCTAATCAGAAGCCCACGAACCACCTCGGTGGACCACTTCAGATGCAAGAGAGCAAAGTCTCCACTCTGAGCTCATCTTGTTTTAGTCTAAACAAGATTTAATGTTAAGTAAAGAGTCTGTTTGTATGTCTCTCCCTCTGCTTTTTCTTCAAGTGTTGATGGTAAGGTGTGAGCTCCAGCTTCACCAGAGGATGACTTCAAACGTGTATCCTCTGTACACTTTCTCACGTAACTTTTCTAGTAAAGGAGTTAGTATTTGTTGTAGACTAGCCAAGAGACAGCTCCTGTTTTGCATTAAATCCCAGCTTCTTCCTGCATTCTGCATTATTCGGACACGGACCCTGCTCTGACATGTCTGCTTTGGGATCTCACTTGTTTGGGTCGTCGGCCGCGCATGTGCACCGAGTGCAGCAGCAAAACGTGCATTTGGGTGATGGATCATTTCCTGACAGTACTGGTAGTCCCATCTGAAGCTTAACTGAACTTTATTTGACCTCTTTCAAGGCCGGTCAGCTCATGGTGAAATGGCCGCATGCAATTATGGCAAGTCATGTTGCCATATAATTGGAGGTATGGCAAGCCATGTTGCCATTTAATTGGATTGCGGCTGATTCGCTGACGCGATCAAAAGCCCGACACCGACCTGGCCCGCCCATCCAGCACATTTATCATGGCCCGGCCCAAATCCAGGTCGTGTCGGGCTTCGGGCCCGGGTTATAAATGACAGCTCTTATCGCAATTAGTCCCTTCTTAAGCCAAGAAACTGACATTTGATTTTTTTTTATTTTTTTTTTTATATAATCTTTGATTTTGACCAAGAGCCACAAAGAACATCCAAATGGAACATTTCTGACTGGCTGATAAAGTTGCAGCCAATAAAATATGTATTTGACGTATTGTACATGACAGCAATAAAAGTCTGCTGAAATTCACTTTTATTTTGTTTTTTTATTATATTCTCAATTCAAATTAAGACAATATGTGTGATTGTTTGTTAGCAAAATATCTCATGAACCACTGGACAGACTTTAATGAAACTGTCAGAAAGTAATCATTAAATGTAACGTATTTTTCAGACTATAAGACACACTTAAAATCCTTGACATCAATCCACAGTGAGCCTTATAATCCAGTGCGCCTTGTGTATTAATTCTGGTTGGGCTTAATGACCACGGACCCATTTTATGTGGTACACGGCGCTCAAAAATCTATGAAAGTGAATTTATTTTGCTTAACGCACCTAATGAAAACGTTTATTGATATTGCACCTTATAATCCAATGTGCTTTATAGTCTGAAAAATACGGTACTTTTTCTTCATTCTTTTTTTAAACCTATTCATTTATGTGCTACAGACATGATTCATCTTCGTACACTTATCAGATTAACTTTTGGTGTCAATCTGACTCAAGACAGCTAACTTATCTTTGAAAGCCCAACAGTGCCAATAAGAGCCCATTTTGCAGATGCTGAGCTAAAACTGTGACAGTCGAGACAGTCTCAACAGACATCTTGACAGACGAGCATTTCTTCCAGGAATCCCAGTTTCATTCATAGGAATAGTTTCACATATTGCAAAACCCCATGTCCATTTTCGTTCTATAAAAACTGACACAGGTCATCGCTCGACTACAACAAAGCTTTTGAGTTTAACCCCCGTGTAACCGAGCTGGTCATCCCTGATTTAAAGGCTTGTGACTCCTTACGTCACACCAGCGAGTAAATCTGAGTGCAGTTTGTCGTTTTGTCATCAAAATGTTGGTTTCGCCTTTGTGAACGCAACCAACCTCAAAAACACTAAATGATTGTTTATAAAGTGGCAATCTTCTGTAGTAACATTTAACAAATGAGACGTACACTTAGTTAAAGTCAGCCACAAATATAAGTGAAAGCAGAGATAGGGATACTTCTCCTGGAGGAACATAAGTGAAACTGAAAGCACGTCACAATATTGTTTTCAGGTTTTCTGTTTAACTAAAATAATCAGTTTTAAAGGTGTCTACACATTTACACTGTGTTGCATTTTATTAGGATTCAGGAAGATACTGAGGTCAAATTATCCCCGTAAAAAGAAGAAAAAAAAACATGACAAATAAGGAAAGGTTTCCTATTTAATTTAGTTTTTGTTTCTAACATGAATTTGTGTCTTCTTAAAGCCTCTTCATTGCAGATCTTTAAAAATCCCAAACTGAAACACTTCTTGAGGATGTGAAATTCGGCTTTTGATGCAATTCCTTTGTTGGACTAAGTTGATGTTGTACTTTATCTCTCAGTTTATCGAAGTTATAGAAAAGAACTTTGCTAGAACTAAACGTACTCTGACCTTCACACTGCTTTCTTCAGTTCATCTGCAGTTAATATCATTCAGAGGTCATTAGTCATAGAAAAATATAATCTCAAAATACCAGGGTTGCCTAACATCAACAGGCCGAGATCTGCAGGATGGACAAAACTACGACAGCTAAGGACAAGTGGACATTCCACGCAGCAAATTTAAAAAGTACTGAAGGGAAAATACTGCCTTACTCTGCCACTTCTAAAAGTACCAGGCGACTTCTCCATGTGGTTTCTCCTTTTCAGAGATTTTTTTTTTCTTATACCAGCGCAATTTGCAAACCTCAAAGTCTGCTCGCTGAACAAGACGGTGGAAGCACGTGAAAGACGCAGAGACCCATCACTCTCTCCCCGTCAGCTTTGTTACGTACGTCTGACAGAGAGAATCCACGGCGTCATCGCACCCAAACCACGACATGATGCCGTTTCCACCTGGGTGGGCCTTCTCTCATTGAGAACAAAGCCTGACAAATACTATCAAGACATTTCCCAAATTTGAGAGTAGTTTTTATGACACTTTGTCAGCTTTATTTTCACATTTGTGACAGTCAGCTGTTTATGAAGGTTAAAGACCAGTCAAAAAACAAATAAAATCATAAAAACATATGGAACAAAAGCTGCACCACTTGTTGTTTTTATATTGATGTGATTAAATTAAAACTTTGCAAGCGAAATTTGTGACCAGTTGCCAACGACCACGCAACCGTTTACCTACCAAAACAGCCTAAATGACAGAAAAAAGTTATATTTTATGGATATATTTCACTAAAAGAGCTGTTTGTGACCAATAACTACAACTATTTTAGATGTTTTGGTTCATTAATCCGGTCAGATTTGCTGAGTTTAAGTCAACACGTTTGGTTCAAACTGTTTTTATGGCGCTCCACCACCCTGTTTGATCTGTATTCATTCTTGACAGCCGTCTTACTCGTTCGTTCTCTCTTTTTTTGTATTTAGCAGCAGATTCAGTCTCATACTTCCACCTAAACATCCGTGAAGTTCTGAACTCGTCTGGTTTGGCCATATTTGCTTACCTGCACAGACTACAGCGAGCCTAAAGTAGGTCAGTCACATGACTCAAGCTTCCATCTAGTTTTCAGTGGATTCCACGGCTTAAATTTTAAACCAATCGATAACGAAACGCAAATAGCGAGTGGGCCGGAGCAGGGTTCTTGGGGTTCTCCCCCAGAAAATTTAAAGTAGATGTGATTTCCTGCATTGTGTTATATTTTAACAGGTTGTTAAACATCTATGTTTACCTACATTTGTAAACACTCCGCTTCTGTCCAGCATCTCACTCCCCCCACCCCCTTTACTTGATGGCTCCGAGCCAACTCTTCTCCACTGGATTCACTGTCCTGTTGTCCGACTCCACACGTGAAACCTCCACATGCCTCCTCCGTCTGTTCATGGCGGCTGCCTGTGGGCTCCTGCTCGTGTACGGCTGCCTAGTTAGCTCGGCACTCACCCCCACGGCTCTTTTAGGGGCGGAGATTTTTTTTAAGGCTTGAAGCGGAAATGCTTACTTGAAGGGGCAGCTCGGATATGATATTAGGAAACTCGTAATTGGCTGTTGTGTTTAAAACGAGTGTTTATGTAATTATTTTCAGTTTGCATATCTAATATAAATTTTACTCGTTCAAGGCAGTCACATTTGTTCATAACTTTATTATTAGTAAGCCTGAGAGTGACAGGATCCAAGCAAACAGTTACTGGAGCGCACCCTGTCAAAATAAGAGCGTACTAGAGCACTATTTAATACAGCTCAGGATAATTTTATGTTTGATTTCATAATTTGCAAAGAGTATCTTTAATATTTTTGTATCTAATATATAAACAAATAAATGTTAAAAAATAAAACATGTTTTATGTAAGGATCTGTTTGTTGCTGTCTTTTTATTTTATTTTATGTTTTTAGATTCATGCCTTTTTGGATATCACATTTGTTTTCTGTGTTTTGCGCCAGCATCAGTTTCTGCCCCTCAGCTCTACTTACACCTGTTCCCTGTCAGCATCAGTGTCACCTGTCTTCAGTTTCCTCATCAGCACCAGTCCGTCTCCATCCTGATCGTTCTCTCGCTCAGCGGTCCGTCGCTGCGCGTGCTTCACGCCCTGTCAGCTTCTCCCTCAGCCTCCACTTATTGTCACCCCATTTGAAATATCCCATCGTTGAGCTTTTACTTGAGGTCTTAGCGTTCAGTCGTGTCCCCTCCTCTAATTGTGATAGTTTTAACGAAAAATGCCATCAACTTTTTACATTTAAAACGTAAAACAAAAAAAATATATATAATAATCTGAAAATTCCATCACATGAAATTTCCACATATGTTCTATAATTTCAGAGTTAAACTTAAAAATTGCTCTTGCAAACCTCATGGGAGGGGCAGCTTACATGTAAGGTTGTAGAAAAAATTCCCCCACTATGTACATGTTAACTGTTTCTCTTCCAGTAAGTCTCCTCCCTGTTTCTTTTTTTTTTCCTTCCCAGTTTTGGCTATATATTGAGAGGGGAGATGAGCCCCATAACATGCACCTCTGAGGTCTGCAAGAACCCAACAAGGAGGATTTATCCACTCTACCTGCAGCATCTTCACTCTCCGTTTTGGTCTCCAGCCAGAAGACTTGTCCCAGCCTGAAGCAGCATGTCTCCTCGGTTTGTCCTCCTGTCCCTCCTGGTTGTCCTCTCCTTCTTCACAGCTCGGAGCACCCCGGTTTGCAACAACCAGTGCTGCCGGTTCGTGGAGAACTTCCCCGCGCGGCTCAAGAAGCTCAGGCTGGACTACTCGCGGATCAGAGATTTCTATGTGAGTAAAACGCGCGCACACGCACTCACGCGCCTCCTACAGCGTCAGAAGAGGTGATGCTGCGTTCAGACCTCTGCAGAACTTTCTCGCTCAACTTTTTTTTTTTTTTTTTTTTTATCTTCTCAGGAAGCGAACGATGACTTGGACACAGCGCTGCTGGACCAGAGCGTCGAGGATTCCTTTAAGGTGAGTTCTCTTCACAAAACATTAATTAATTAATTACAACTCAAGAGGCTTCTCTTGCACGCCGAATCTAACCAGGCTGGTTTTCCTCTCCCCTCGTTCAGAGTCCGTTCGCCTGCCAGGCCATAAACAGCATTTTGGGCTTTTATGTGAACACGGTTCTGCCCACAGCGGTGGCCGGAGTGAGCGACACCAGGGACCTGAAGCCCCATGTGGAGTCCATCCAGCAGATCTTCGACCAGCTCAACAGTGACGTCACCAAATGTGTGAGTAGCAGACACGTGCTCCCAACTGCACGAGAAAAGTCAGGTCGCCGGGATGCGTTCACTGACATCTGTGCTTTTCTGTATGACGAGCTACACTCTAAAAACGGACTGTCAGGTTAACTAATGATGTTTAAATTGAAACAAAAAATTCATACAAGACATATAAAGTTAAAAGATTTTTTAAAGCTTTCTAAAAACACATGAAGCCAAATAGTTTAATGCTAATTAAAACAGCATTTGTTACTTTAATAATTTTTTTTAAACTGCTTGTTCTGATGGGTTAATGTAAACAAAATATATTAAATACAAGATAAAATAATTGTGCAGTTCAAACACCAAAATTAATTTCTTTTTTAATCCAATATTTCCCAAAGTTGTATCCCACAGGTGCTCATGACACTAATAAACTTGAAGAAAAGAAGAAAAAAAAACAACAGTAGATGTAAACATTTTATGATTTTTTTTTTGTTTGTTTTGCTTTTGTTATTACAAAAAATACATAGAGAGGTTAAAATCTTATAAGTAAATTGGCAGTTTGTAATATTTTGTTTGTTTATCTGTAATATGTTTGTACTTCAAGCAATAGTTGGAGTTACAAATCTTTGAACTTTGTATTTTTGGGGTCAGAAGAGGAAAACTTGAACTACTAGAGACTAGACAATATTTTTCTTTCTTTGAAATTGTGTAGAAAATGACAAAACTAGTAATAATTAGAAATTAGTGGTATGTTACACTATTTTAAAAACCAGCTTACAAGCACCTATTTAAAATTAATCAAACATTTTTGAAGTGGTTGTTAAAGGAAAATGCAATATTTGGGAGAAAAACAGAAAGAAAGAAACACAAAGTTTGTTTTCTCAGTCATCCAGGTATATAACAACAAAAAAGGTTGAATCATGTCATCTGGACTTCGTTTTTTTTGTTAAAAAGAAACGTTTCGCCCCTCATCCAAGAGGCTTCGTCAGTCTGAGGCCTAGCCATCTGGTATTACCCAGAAGCCACCCTGGTA